CCTGTATGTTTTACCCGCAGCACATTTCAATTTTGAAAATTCCCAAATTATTGACTCCAGCAAAATGCCACAACCCTACTCTGAAACAGAGTGGTATTATGTACCCTCAGGAAGACAGGCCTCCATGGTCCACCACCCCACTGCTCGAAACTGGTAAGTGGCAAGAACTCCCGTTCACTACTAAAAGAAAGGGAGGAAAAGTTTGTTGGAGAGTCTGAAGGACTGCAACACTGAAGACTATGCAATGGGTGACCAGGATACCCTATTTTGAAAAAGCAAAGCTACCACATTGACGGAGTCGATCAACCAACACCTGGCAGAGTCAAGAACCGTACATCAGGTCTGAAGTAGGAAGAGCTTCCATGCCACGTATCATCAGAGATGGGCAGTAATCCCTGTCAGCTTTACCCATGTAAGTCCATGAGTGTACAGTCCAAAACAAACATATTTATGAAGCAAAAGACCACAAGATATAACTACGATTGATTCTGCTGAACACCCCATCTCTATGGTGTGCATAACATTAACATGCAACATGATGATTTGTCCTGTATGAATTGTTGATATTAATGTATACATGACATCAGCATACAGTCATCTAGCATGCTTACATGATGGAGAGTGCAGATTTAAGACTTAGTATATCTGGTCAGGCATCACTCGCCACAGAGCAGGATCCATAACCGATGAGCAAGAGGCCCCTGTAAAGGAAAAGAAACTTAGTACTTACCTGTCACAAAGAAACAGAGGTATACAGAATGGCAACTGGAGGTAAGCAGAAACCCACAGAGCATAAAACGACCAAGTGATGAAGTGAGTGAGATGTAAAGGTATATGGGGTAGTCCACATACCTGCACTGATGATGCTCTCCAAAGAAAGACAGAAATGGGCAGCCAGGGGCTTGGTCAACTGATGGAACTAATGAAAAAAACATGATTAAACAACAATCATCTAGCAAAAGGGAAGAAAATGGCAGCTGAATAATTGAGAAAGTCCAACCCATAATAGTAATGGGAGAAAGGTCATGTGAAACAGTAGGATTCCAATGAATAAACAAATGGGCATGGGAACCATGGAAGAGAGCAGTGCATGTCATATACCATTTGAGGGCTCTGACCAGGCAAAGTAGGTGATCAGGATCTGAATGGTCATAAAGTTGGGAGATGGAGGAAAGTGAAAGGAAACACGGTAAATATTGATCGCAAAAACATCAGAACGATAGTGACCGCATGCCAACAATAATAGAAAAAAGGACTTCAATGAAAGGTGATATAACAAGCTAGACAACAAATGTTCAAATGGAGGATGAATAAGGATGTGAAGGACAACAGTGAGATTCCAATCCAGGAGAAAAGTAGGGCAGGGAGGACGAGCAATGGTGAATGAATAAATGAAATATGATAGATAGGAAAGTAGAGTGGAACACAGAAGCAAATATGGTAAATGGAAAGGTGGAAGACAAAGCCACCCTGTAACCCATAAGAGGAAATAGAGAGTAAAAAAAGACAACAAGTAATCAAGAGCAGTAAGTAGCCTACTTACGCTGATAAACCACCAATGATGATGGTCGAACTGGATGGGAAATCAAAGATGCAACACATCTGGAAAGTCCGGAACCATCTGGCAAAGGCCCTGACAAAAGCCATGCATGAAGATGGAATATGGGTAGGGTAGTATGACACACTGAAGCGAGGCTGGAAAAGGAGCGTGAGAAACAAAGTGAGATGAATAGGTGGTAACACCAGCATCTGTCATAAAAGTGGAAACCACATCTGAGCTGGCCAATACAGTGCCACTAACCTAACTTGACAAGGAGTGGTCAGAACTATTGAAAGGACACGAGGAGGAAGCCAAATAGGAGGATAAGCATATAGGTAACAACTGAACCAATTCTGGCTTTGAGCATCCACCTGCAGATGAGGAACATGTGACTAAAATGGGGAAGTTGTGTGTTGAGAGGAGATGCAAATACATCCAAACTGGGGACATCCCAGCACGCATACAATTCCTGAAAAACCATAGGATCCAAAAATTACTCCATCAGTAGAAAGTAATTTGATGGCTGTGGGCCCAATACAGAAGATTCAAATTTTGAAAGCAAAGGTCCCTTGACTAGATGCCACCTTGCCTGGTGATATAGGACACCACTGTTGAATTATCCATGTGGATCAGAAGAGACAGCAGGAAGTGAAGGACAGCTAACCGAGCAGCAAGAAGCTCCAAGATATTGATATGGGGAGTGGATTTGAAAAGAGTTCACTGTCTCAAAACTTCCTGCCAGTCAAGATACGCTCCCCAACTGGAAAGGGAAGTATCTGTAAAAATGTGACAAACCAGATAAGGCAGAGGAAGATAAACCCATGTGGTAGTATTCATCCAATCCAGCCACCAGGCAAAGTCTGTCAGTAAGTATGGGTAATAGTAGCATCCAAGGGATCCCAAACAAAGCTCCACTGGTCAATTAAAAATGAACCAGAAACTGGGTAGATGTAAGGAATGACTTCTCCACTTTTATGAGCCAACCGACCCTGTCAGCTTTCCGAAGAAGAAACTAAGTATGGAGGGCAAGGTCAGCCTGTTAGGATGTCAGCAGGAGACAGTCATCAAGGTAATGGTGGAAATGAATGCCTCTGGGAATGAAGCAGTTAAGTGAATGACAGGATGACTTGATAGAACACATAGGGGGCCGAGGCCAGGCTAAATGGAAGTACCTAAAACTGAAAACACACCTGTGATGAACAAAATGAAGGAAATGTAGGTATGCTGGGGAGATGGGAATATGGAGATATGCATCCAACACATCAACCTTCGTCATCCACTGACATGATAGAAAAACCAAACAAAGAATAAAGTACTTGTTGAACTTGGGAATAATGAGAAAGCAATTCAGAGACATTAAATTGATCACTGGGGGCCAGTCTCCTGTCTTTTAGAGAATGACAAACAGATGAAAATAAAACCCTGGATGAGAAGGATTTCTTCATTTGATGGCACCCTTGAAAATTAAATCTCGAATTGCCTCTAACAAATGCTGGCATGAAATGGGATCCCATGTAGGGGAGGGGGGAATTGGATGGGAGAAACAACGGGGAAAACGACAGGAAGCAGAGAGCCAGAGCTTTGGAAACAACCTTTGAAACCCATGAATCTACTGTAAAACACCTCCAAACATGGGCAAACAGGAAAAGTCTGTCCCCCATTGGCCCTGAACTGAATACTGAGTCACTGACAAGGAATGCCTGAAAATGACAATGGGCAGCCAAACAAATGTACAACAGATGGACAAGAAGGTGGTGAGTTAGCCACTGAGACATAAAAAGATGGGTGGGACAAACAAGAAGCCAATATTACATCCCAAACCACTCAGAGGAATATGAGATTCCAAATGTTGGGAGTCTAAATATGGGTAGGTGGTACGATGAAAAGCAAAAGCATAATCATCCAATGTATGAGGGGACGAGGCATACTGACTCCCGATCACAACTGTTCCCCAAAACAACAAGCATGAAACCCAATATCTGGTGAAGAAGGAAAAACCAGATATTGACCCAAAGATTTGTTTCCAAGGAGGGCTGGGGTAGAATCATAGGAAACAGGAGACAAAAACAAAATCAAACAAATCTGATGAATAAAGTCAACAATGGGAGAAGAAGGCCCAGGAAAGTCCCCTGGTATGACATGGATCTGAGAAGTATATTCAGAAGGGGGGAAAAGGATGTACAAATTCTCATCCTTCCTGTCAGACACACCAGACACTGGTATGACGGGATACTCCTCAGGTCGTGAATGTTGCATGAAATGAGACAATTCTCTACAGATCATAAAAGTCATATCATCAGCCGATAACTGTGGGACTGACCCTAAAGACGTGGTCTGTAAATATGCAGGTGCAGTAATAGCAGTAGTAGTTGTAACTACTTGAAACTGCAAGTGCATAATTACAAAGTATAAACTTGAACATATTGAACAAAAAGTATCCAGAAAAAAAAAAAATGCACAAAATGGAAATCACGAGCAAAAACAAACACGTCTTATTAGTAAGACTGCTAATCGAGAAGTGATTAACAAGTGCATTATTAGAGAGAGTGCTAGTTACCATAGGGGTAGCATTGCACTCCTATTGGTGAAGAGTTGCTCCATGATCATTTTCACATAGATATGCAGAAAGAAGTGGGAGTTACAAAGCTAGTGGCAAGCAAAACATTTGCACTGATAGAGGACAGTACTAATCGAGAAAGCTTTTTGTGAGAGTAGGTAAGATATTGTGTTGGAATTAATTTGCTGTTTAGTTATGCAACTGGATGGCTTCAAACAATTAATATGGATCTGTAAAAGGCAAGAAAGGTAAACCATTACTACATCCAAACACAATATTTTAGTATGATTACACATATTCCTATAATAGTGCTGAAACAAACATTCATTAAGTTAATTCACTAATTCTTCAGGCCTGGACCTACATTTTAACACAATACTGGAGAGTTTATAATCTAGCAGAGGAATGAATGCAAGAAAATCATCATATCTCTGTCTGCATCATATTACACCTCAAACATGGTGAATGAAGGGATTGTATAATAATAGGAAGAATACTAAAATAAATGTCCAATTAGTAAAAATTGGCCAATTAATTGTTAGAAAAGAGTCATAATTATGCAACTGTTTTTCTCATATTATCAATTTCAAAAATAGGAAGATAAAACAAAATTATTTACAAAGAAGAAAGATAGTAATATTCATTTACAACTCACACATCCAGGTTGGAAAGAATAATTAATATATCAATGATGAGTCAGAAAATTATTGATGAGCCCCCTTAACTAAGATGTTGAATGAATTCTGCTGTCTGTCCTATATTTCCTCTTTTGTATATACACTTTTCTGTTCTTACTCTTATAGTTGAAAAACACAAAAGACACAGGTGTGCACCTATGCTCTCAAATTCTCATATATATATATATATATATACAAGTTGTCAATTACTAAACATAAAACCTACCTCCAGGTTTAAGGCATTTTTCCGTATTGTGTTTGGCACAAGAATTATTTGGATGTAGTTATGATGTTTCTTCACAGCAATCTCTCTGTATCGAAAGGCACACTCACTCTGTCTTTTACTCAGCCTTAAGTTATCTTCCTCTAAAGCCTTTTTCCTTTTTGAGATTTTGTCCTCTTCAATAGAATCAACAATAGATTCTTGAACTTCGCGAAGCATGGAAGAGATAGGTTTTCCCGTGGGATGGGTGAGGTAGCCAGAAACTGTGGGAACTCCATGTTTGCAGCTAATTTTGTCTAAATCATTCCATGCAGTGTGAATTTTTTTATATATATCTGCTTTAAGACTGGTTTCTAGAAAAATCACAAAATATAGCAACAATTATAGCATTTAATACAAAACACATGCAATAACACACCTACAAATATCCACACAGGGTTTTCATTATCTTTAGGGCAATAATACTAAAATAGATGGGTAATCCTGTCAGTGAGATGGAGCTGGGGCTGAAGGTCCAACATCATACCCTTCTCAATCCCACTAGGTGGTTGGGGGCATGTTCCCCTAAAAATTCTAAAAATCAAGAATATCAGAAACACCATTTCCTGCTTTTTCTGGCCTCTTTCAAATAACAATATAAAGAGAAATGACAGCATAAAAGGTAATAAATATATGAACTCACTTTATATATTTACCTGTTTTAACTTTATTTACACTGGGAGTATCTTGAACATCTTTTATATAAATACCATTACTTAATCAGGAACAGCAAAATTGTATTTAATTACATGCTGAGAAGCAGAAAATGGACAGTGTGTACATAAAGCTGGCTATCCAACAGGAATATACATGTATGTCTTGCTTGCCTAATATCATTACAAATGGCTTCAAAACTATTTAAAAACACTTTTTAAGGCAATAAAATATTCCAAAAAGTTATAATTAAAGTGATTCTGGTAAGACCTTTAAAGATAAAAAGGCTGATAGAAATAGCAAATAAAAAACCAAAGTAGCCAGGTAAGTCAGCCATAATTAGCTGAAGTAAGCTGGTGATTCATTTGGCATCTAATGAAAACCCCATGCATCTCTATTAAATAATGATCTAAGGTATTATAAATCTTACACTACGATAATTTGGCTTACAACAAAATATGTTAAATTTTAAAAGATTACAATTAAATAAATAAACAGGTATGCAACCAAAAGTTTGAAATCTCTGATGAAATACAGAAATGAATAATACACATCTATTTACAAGTATATATGCATGAAAATTGTGTAAAATGCACATATAGTGAAATATAGTTTTAAGTTATATGCATAATTCGACAACTATATTAACACATTAGAAAAACCTTTTTGTACAAGTAAAAATTGAAATATATAATGGATAAAAGTAATTCTTGGACTGCCTAAGTACATAAAAAGTGAAAACCCTACATATCTAAACACAACACTTCTTCACGCACTAGGAACTAGAAAATGTACATAAAAGTTTAAAAAATAAATAACAGCAGGGTTGTTAGATGTATATATATGTCACAGTGATTGATTATAATATTGTGTTAAATGAAAACAAGTGCATCTAACCATGCCACTGGAAATAATATTTGGACTTGCTCATGATATATTGTATGCAGTTTAATTTATCACAATTTAAGTATTAAACAAGTAAGAATGATAAAGTGTGTGTGTTTGTGTGTTATTTTTACAGCAAAGCCACATTGAGCTATCTACTGTGTCCACTGAGGGGAACTGAACCCTTGATTTTAGCATTGTAAATCCGAAGACTTACCACTGTCCATCCGGGGAATGAATGATAAAGTAATGCCAAAATAATGAACTTTTTCACATATTTATTACTCACATGTAAGTAAAAGAAATGTTGTCAATATAAGTAACTTTTGATATTACAGTGTAATACACAAGTATTATTGATACATATGAAACTACTGAAAATAATACTGTAAATGTTTTAAATGACAAAAATTGTAAAAACAGGAAAATCATTTCAAATTTCTGAAAATTAAATGTTTATAATGTAAGAATGTTGGAACTGATTGAAACTTTATCAAAATTATATGGAAAATTAAAAGCCTAAAACATCATATACATACACACAAAAATTATGTATATATAAACACACACATATGTTTGAACTTGAAAGTCTGTACTATCATAATTTACTTTCTTTTGTATAACAGCTCCTAGATCACTACTATGTCCGTTGTACCCTATCCAGCCTGATAAACTCTGGTATTATGTGAAAGACCTTGTCGTCATTGGATACAGTAGATATAGTGTGGTTGACATATTATAACATATTTCTCTTTGCTTTCACATTTAAGTTCTTAGAATTAATTTCATCATTGTTAGAAATTCTCAGCCAATCATAACCTGCTACAGTTTATTATCTTCCACATTGTTGTAATCACTCATCTTTAAATGGTCACATGTTTTCCCACAACTCACCCATGTGAAAATGATGACAAAAAGGAACTAGCATCATCTAGTTTGTCTTTGAACTTTATTTTGGTTTTAAAACTGGTAATTTCAAATACAATATTATATCTCTATCTGTATTACACTTTACTAAAGTCTGTACTGAAATGAAGGTGGAACTAACAAAAGCAGAGAAGCTTTCTCTCCCGCAGAATAGGAGGGTGCACTTGTCATTCTTACCAGATGTTCCAAATGTCAAAGTGAAACACAAAGGACCAATGTAGCCAAAAAGAAACTTAACCAGTTTATTACACTGACATTTGGTCAACTCATGACCTTACATAATGCAGACCCAAGGTGAAAAGAACACTTTCAACAATAAAACAAGTAGGATTATTCTAGTAACCATACATAATACAATGAGTCACAATGCTTAAAAACTGAAAAAATATCTCACACATGCACAGCATAATAGACCAACCACACATGTATACAAATAATTTGACTCATCATCTACTCAACTGAAATGGCTCCACTAATTACACACTATACCAAATCAGGATGTAGAAACAATTTCACTGAACAAGGCTTGAACCTTGCTACCACAGGCCACACTAAAATTGAAGATCCTCTTACAGTTATTTAACCTCTATGCCCATAGAAATAACCCAAACCTGACCATTACAATAAAAAAGAAGTCTACATAATCACATAAAAACAAAACTGGCAGCTCTTAAATCTAAACACAAGAATAGCATCCCACAAGAAAAGTGCATCAAACATCAATCTTATGAAAGGACATATATCACTCAGCCAAAGTAAGCAGCAATAAGTATGAATTTTAAGATTGAAACTATAGGTTACATGTGGCTAAAGGTTCAATTTCATATCATGGTACAAGTTATAATTTTTCTACACAGAAAATGTATTTATATCCTGTCCCAGAGCTTGTTCTTGATAATGTTTTCTGGTGCAACATTCTGAACCTATACATTTCTGATAGATACTTACCTCTGATCACAGTAACAGCTATTCTCTTTTTGATTTCCCTCAAGTGCACAAATTTTTGCTTGCCACTAGCCTTCAAACTCCCACCTAATTCCAGGTGTATACCACATGATTCAGCTTCATTTAAGCGTAAAAGAGTCCTCCAATAATAGGAGTGCAACAAACCCTCCTATTGCAACTGACTCCCTCTATACAGTTGAATCCAACCTTCATTTTGAGATTGGACACAAAAAATGACACCAGCAGTGAGGAGTAGAGGTAATATCTATCCAAAATATATTTTCAGTGTAGGAAAATATTAACTTCCGATACATTTGCTTACCTCCTCTTACAGTTACAGCTAGAATCCCACATTGAGCAGGTGGAGGGAATAGTGTAAAATTACCTAGATGATCACCCTTCAAATGCATCTGAAAAGCAGCCATAGAGAAAGCCCTCTCTATGGAAAGTAAACACACACATGGGAGACCTCACAATATCTGAACCAGATGTAATCTTTTGCCCATGTGGAGCCAATAGGTGTGGTGTCTCAAACAAAGGATGGAACAAAGTAACAATTCCAGATCTCTAAGGAAAATAAAGGTGTGTAGAGTGGCTAGGGTGCATCAGAACATAAGTAGGAGGTAACTCCAGTCCAGACCAGTGGCACATGGAAGAACTTGACCAGTCCAAGGTAGGAGAAAAGTCCTAAACCATTAACCTTAAGTCTAAGAACCACAAGGGAAGAGGACCCCCCCATTCCAAGAACTTAAACCATCATGTGTGCAAATCCAGCACAACCTGCAGCAAGAAACCCTAAGAAGTACACCTAGATTATATCAGGAAGTTGGAAATACAATGTGGAGGGTCAATTTCAGTGCAAAACTGATCAGCATTGGGGATGTAATATCCAGTCCGTAGTAGGAAGAAGTTTTCATCCCACTCACACGTTAGGACTTATGTTGGTTGGTCCAGCTCCAACCAAAACCAGTCACCCAGGAAACAACATCCAGACAGTGGTAGGAGAGAGGGTTCCCAGCCAGAGGGATGAACCACATAATAGATGGAAAAACCCAGTTCAGGCTGGCAGCATCTGGAATAAAATATCAGACATATGGCAGGAGAATAGTCATACCTTCTACAAAGGAAAAATGCCACTGCCCTACTCTTGACTGAGTGGAACTGTGCACATTCAGGAGGAATCCTCTATGATCCACAAACCCCAATAGGAAGTGGTAAAGACTCCCATACTTCACTGAAAGAAGGGGTAGAAGAAATGCATTGGAGAATCTGGAGGAACACATCACTGGAGAAAGTGCAGTGGGTGACCACAAAACCCTCTTTTGAAAAGCAGACTGTTCCTGATTCCAGCATTCTAAGGCATGTTAGAATGGGAAACAATTTCTTTTTGCTTTATTCATGTTAGTCCATATGTGTATGATCCTGTATGAACATACTTATGACACAATATGCTGCAAGGAAGAACTTGACGGCAGTCTTGTGGAACACCTCATTTCAATAGTAAGCATGATAGACCTTCTAGATCCCATGGTGCAGATTTTGGACATCAGTATACCTGGACAGGCACCACTCACTACAAAGTGGGATCCATATCATGTGAATTAGTCCCCTGAAAAAATAAAATAAACCCACTCAGACTTGTACTGACATATGGAGAATGGCTACATGGAAAAACAATATCTGGCTTAACAGAAACCTGTCAGATGGTGCAAGTAGCACGACACAAAGGTGCGGTGAGTAGTCCACATGTTAGCCTGGATAATCTCCTCCAAAGGATGATAGAAATGAGAAGCCAAGGACATTAGGAGGTGACAAACCTGATGGGATGAAACACAGAACAATTGGTAAGAATCAAGAGAAAGAGTGCCATGCTTAACACGTAACACCGTAAAGCACAGACCAG